GAAGGAGGCCATTATGTAGTCCAGATTGCTAGGAATAGAACCCGTTTCGTTCACCGAGGACTGGCATCAACGCTTTAGCTAGCTAGTTCGCTGATATTCAAATGTCCTTTATTTGAGGACACTGTGGGTTAGGCCTTAACCGGGGACTCCAACATGATGTTTTTGGTTTGTCAGTGCCACTAACTTTGCGAATAGGCCATGTTTCAATGTGTCAGCTGATCTCCTACGGAGTGGCTTCAGTGGTGGACGCAAACGAGTTTACCGGCCGTGGCCTTAGTAGTTTTCTTCACTTTCGACTTACTTGTATGGGTAAAAAGGCTATATCATACAGACGGATCTTGGGGTCACCAATGACCCGTGCATCGTGTGGGTTCATTCTTTCAACAACCCATATGAGGCACTTCAAAGGCACATAACCAATGTTCCCACATGAGTCGGCAATAGACCGATCAATAACCACGGGGTTTGCCCTACAGTCAAGCAACCAATTCAGTGCTTCTACAGGAAGTCTCCCAAAACGTTCATCCTTGTCATTCCGTTCGTCGCCTTTTGTTTGTGGACTACGGTTACGTTACTAAGCACAGTACTCTACCTAAGCCAGATATATATTGAATATCATGGGGAGATTTCGTTGGGTCGCCCGTGAAAACCCGGCTGATACGCGAATGAGTGTACTCGTCGAGAGCAGTCCAATCTGGGTTCAAGTAGAACATAATGCTGACAGGAACTCAGGAGCAGCGCCCACCTGATGAGCTCCAAAAAGGGCAAAACCCGTAGTGGGCTGTCAAGACCACTTGAACCAAGACCAGTTGCGACTTTCTTCGGGCTCATCAGGTAGGTCGTTGATTTTTTTCAACATCCTCAAACGGTTGTGGCCACGGGAACTGATTTTCAAGGTCACGGTGCGTTAGTTGACTCTAGAGCTGGTCTGCCTCCAAAATGAATGGTTTAATCCCACTGTTGACCGCGGCTGTAAGGTCGAAACACATAACACCTGTTTGTGCGTTCCGCAAAGCAACAGCAGACAAGGTTTGTCTGCAGCGCACGGAGCCCTTTTGTCCAGTTTCTGGTGTTGTACCACGATGGTCTACTCCAGAATCTGCATTTACGGACAAACTCTTCCTACAAGAGGGGACTCTGCAAACTTGTTGTCCAGATATTCCCCAACCAGACTGCGGACGCGTTTCGCAGACTGACGCAACTTTTCCGTTTGCCTCCCGTGCAAGAAATGAAATCACATAACGGTCTGAATTAGTTGCAGATTTCCAGGCGACAGGAGCACCCTTCTTGGCCCTCAGTCAACTTCGACTTGCCCTGTGCAAAATGTAGGCTATTCATTTGGATGACCCCATCCCTAACGATTACACAGAGAAGGCGGAACGGATGGTACAGGAGGCGTTGATTCATGTTGCAGAGGCCTGTAGACACGCTGGACGCTTGGGTGACCTGGTGGACTTGGGCCTGTCTTCTTCAGAAGCTCAGATTTTGGTGGACCACCATTGACGCTCAGGCCGTTTCGACGTACTGTTTCACTGTCTGCTTGCTCGAAAGCAATACTCGAACGTTCTATCGGTGTTTGAAGAATGTCGACGCGACAGGTCCGTGCACAACGAGCTCCCGATAAGCCCAGACATGGAGTAGATTTTCTCAAAAGTGCAGAATCCGTGGTTGACCTAGAGCGAGGAGGACTGGTGACGAAGTATGACGCAGTCAAGCTTGAATGTAGGCACATTCGGGCGAAACCGGTCGTGGGCTGTCGAAGAGTTTTCAGCAACCTTATGAGTAGTTCCACCCCACGAAAATATATTGGCGCATAGTTCGCCAGTGTCGATGAGTGAAGGGAATATGAGTAGACGAAAACACTACAGCGACTTTCTGAAATAAGTAAACCGTTTGACCCCCCCCCCAAAAAAAAAAGTGTCCCGATATCCTAGGCGTAACATGCTGCCAACAGGTTGCTGAA